CACTGGAATAGCACTTGTGCAACCCAAACAAGACCCAATTTAATCTAAAAACAGAAAGGAAAAAAAAATCAGAAATGAGACAAGAAAACCAACAGAGATTTAAAAACTAAATTTAGTCAAGTAGAAAAAAATACAAACACAAAGAGGGAGGAACGAGCAAGACAGGGGAACTTTGTATAGAAAACAGAATAGTAGATGCTAATGGTGCACTAAAAGGAGCTGACAGCCTAACACAGAAGACAGTGCTGTAGAAAAATGAAAAGCACAGAATAATCAATGTCCATAAAAGGCTGATACTTACAAAGATTGATAAAATAAGCCTCTAGCCAGAAGCAATCAAGAAAACAAAAGGAATGATCATAAATCACCAAGACAAAAATTATACACAAAAGCCTATGAACACTAAAATGTATTGAAGAAATATTATGAACAATTTTACACCAATATATTGGTCACCTTAAATGAAGTGGATAACTGACTTGACAAACACAAACCACCAAAGTTTCCTCAAGACTAAACGGGTGACTCCTGAAGTGTCCTATCTCGACCAAAGACAACAAACTGAATGTTAAAAACTTTCACATAAAACATACCTGTGGGCACAAGTGGTTTTATTGCAAATTACTTGAAATGTTTATAAACATTTAAGGAAAAAATAATAATTTTCCAAACTCTTCGAAAAAATGGAAAAGTAGGAACTACTTAACAAATTTCCTGAGTAAGGCATACTAGGACTAAAGTTATTCCAAGAAAGTTTCAGACAAACAGCCTCTATAAATACAGATGCAAAACTATTTAACAAAATATCAAACCCAATAGTATATTAAACCGATAGTACTTTCAGGGCAAAGGGTTTATCCTAAGAATACACGGGACTTTTAATACAAGTATCAATATTAATAGACTAAGAAGGCTATGAGCAGCAGCAATAAAGGAAGACCAATGTAGTTAGCAAATTTCAATCTCCAAACATCATAAAAATCTCAATTATTAGCAAGTGAAGGAAATTCCCTCAGTCTGACAGAGGTCAATTATAAAAAATCCTAGAGTTTATATACTTAGTGATAAAAGACCACATAGAAAAAAGATGCATGATTTTACTACAGCTATTCTGGGAAAATCTTAACCAGTACAGTAAATAAAGAAAAACAATCAATAATGGTTACAGATAAGAAAGAAAGAAGCAAAACTGTAATTCAGAACAACATAATTATGCATGTGAAACCCCCCCTAAGCTATCTACAAATTTACTAGAACGAAGACAGTTAAGCAAGGGCTTGGTACATACTATATCCCTAAATTCTATCAACAAGCAACTGGACATTAAAACACACACACAAAGAATTAAGTAAGATCTCAAAGCAAGGAAAACTCTGGGATATATTTACAAATTATCCATTACTGCTACGCACTGAAAACTTATAAAACACTGTTAATAAAAGTTAAGAACATAATAGGCAGTGGCAGAACTAATGCACAGAAGTATGGATGTCAGCAGAGTGTCAAGCCTCTAGCTGGGGAGATGGTGAGGGGATAAAGGAACTTGCTGCCAAGTCTCAGGGATCGATCCTGAGACACAAATGGTGCAAGGAGAGAACTGAATTCCACAGCGGTTCTCTGACCTCTACGTGTGTGTGATGACATACACACATGTGTACAACACAAATAATAAATGCTAAAGTTTTTTAAATTTTATGTGTATGAGTATATTATATTGCCTGAATGTATACAAATGCACCTGTTACACAATGCCCACACAGAGGCACTGGAGTCAGAAGAGAGTGTCGGATTCCCCTGGAACAAGAGTTACAGTTTTTAGCGGCCATGTGGGTGCTGGGAATTGAACTTGGGCCCTCTGCAAGAGCAGCCAGTGCTCTTAAAAACTGAGCAATCTCTCCAGCCCCATGTTATATTTAAAAAAAAAAAAAAAATCAAATCTTTCCAAATGATTCTACAGATTCAACACAACAGCAATCAGAATTGCATGTGGTGCACGTGGCTATCGATGGAATATAAAAATCAAACAGGGTATCTGGAGGTCTGGGTGCCAAGAGAACACAAGGGAGGTGGAAGTTTCCAGGCCACTGGAGGCTTGCTCATGTGAGCCTGCGGCAGCAGTCATGTAGCACAGGACCCATGTCATCTCAAATAAACAAGGGCCCAAAGGGGAGGTGAGAAATAGGTGGTGGGCCATTACTAGATTTAGAACTATTTGAGACTCATTGCTGCTAGATTAGGGAGAGTATGACTTATATATGACCACTGGATGGGCTCCAGTGGAGGCATTTACAGTGAAGGACATTTGGGTACAAACATCTGAATGAACAGGACTCAGCATGTGTGGCAGTGTATCTGATTTGGTGGGGGGATAGGCAGAAGCATGGATGGGGGAGGGGGTCTGGATCTGAGTGGGAAATGGATAAAATCTAAAAAGCTCAATAAAAAAATAAAATAGATTTTTGTTTACTCACCTTTTATTCAGCAAACTCACTATATTAAATTTCCTACTTTTCTATATATTGCTTTAGATATTTTATCTATATAATAAGACTATCTGTCACTAATAAGTTGTATTGATTCTTTTCTTTTCTTTTTTTTTTGGTCTTTTGAGACCGGGTCCCCCTTGTGCCCCGGGTTTTTTTGGACCTCCCTTTGTAGCCCGGGCTGGCCTCGACCCCAGGGAGTCCCGCCTGCCTCTGCCTCCCAAGTGCTGGGACTATAGGCATGCGCCACCACACCCGGCTGATTCTTTTCTTAACTGACATCTTTTCTTTCTGTCTTTACTGAATGACATGGACCACCTGGACAAGGAATAGAATGATTTTTACAATATGGACACATATTGGACAAATGGCTTATCTAACCTTGTCATCAAACGTGTTTGAGATCATTTAACACTATATCATGTAAAACATGCTTACCTAGCCTTAGGATCCTCTTGTGACCTGGGCACATAGCTTTAATCCATCATGACCCTTTCTTGCCCTTGACAAAGAACAATGTGTGTGTGTGTGTGTGTGTGTGTGTGTGTGTGT